GTGAGCTCCTGGGTGACAGTCACATTTTCTCTGATGCAGTGTGAGGCTCAAGAGTGCTCAGTAAATCAAGTTGGAAACAGCATCTTCCAAACCTTGTTTGTCCTGGTAGGAGAGTGACCTCAGGGCCTTTCGGGAGCTGGGCCGCCCACCCCGTCTCCTTCCTGCCTCGTTCTCTGGATGCTCTTCTTCCTGATTGTGTTAGAGAAAATAACCCTCCTTAACCGAAGATTGAAAATGGTTTCCTTTCAGAGCAAATCGATTTGGTCCAGACCACCGTAGGAAAATGAATGGCTTCTTTTGTGTGAAAATTCATCCCCAACCTTAGGCTTTTCCCCATGTGCAACCACACACTTTTGCCTCCTGAGGTTTCAGTGAGTCATCCCCAATTTTTGCATTAAAATCTCCACATGGCGCAAAAAGGGATTATTTTCAGGAAAATACATTTCAAGATAGGTCAGAGTTGGAGAGACTTCTTTAAAAAGTAATCAGGCCCTCAACTAAAGAAGGATTAGGTAGGGCAGATCTAGTTATACAAGTAATTTGCCTTTTTACCATACACCAGACGACAGAATATTTACAAGAAAAGTTAAAAAGTAATTTTTTTTTCCTTTTTGTCTTTTTTCGTGACCAGGATCGCAACCCTTGGTGTCGCGCACACACCGTGCTCAATCAGTGAGTGGATCGGTCTCTATATGGGATCCGAACCCTCGGCGGGAGCGCCGCTGTGCTCCCAAGCACTGTACTCTACCAAGTGCGCCACCGGGCCGGCCCGAAAAAGTAATTTTGAAAGACCTTCTCTCTCATGCTGGCTGGTGGGTTGGGTTCATTAGAGTGTGGCCTTGTAACATGCAGATCAAGGGTCTGGTTGCCTGTGACGGCCAACCACCAAAACAAATAAGTAAAGATCTTCCCTCTCAATAAAATCCTTCGTGCAACTGCCTGCTCTCACCCGAGTATCATCCCATTTTCCTTCCCTGTCGTGTTATCCTCACAGCATCAAAACAGAGCAGAAACATTTGGTCTGAGAACGGCGATGCAGACTGGCTGTGTTAATTTCATCCGCTGCTGTCTACTGTCCATCCATCCTGCTGGTGAATGACCGGGCAGGGACAGGGACCAAGCCCAATGGGACGCAGGAACTGGGCTGTGTCCTCAGGGCTCACACCTACCTCCTTGCTACTTGTTTTGGGATGTCTATAACTATTTGCATTTTCAAGACTATGGAGCCTGCTGGGGACATTGGGCCTCAGTCCCTCTTGGGACCTCAGGGAGAAGTGGGGGACATATTGGATTTCCCCACCCAAAGGCTTAAGAAGGATCTCTCAGGGCCAAGGGGCTGTCCACTCCACCCCTCGCCACCCAACACTCCCCCTGCCTCCCCAGGCAGGAGGTGGTAGGTGCTGGGCACATACACAGCCAGCCTATATGCAGGGCAGTGTCTGCTACCTCTACCTTTATTTTTTTATCTGTGTATTTTTTATCTGTGATTGCCTCTTTGTGTGACGACTTTGCAATATTTCCTGGAGAGAGAAGAGAGATTTTTGTCATGCCGTTTTTTTCTGGAACTACCAGAGTCCATCAGAACACAGAACGCCAGATCCCTAGATGAAATCCAGTAGGTCGAGATGTGTCCCCCACAAACCCAGGCATTGCAATAAGGTGCATGGCTCCCACGAGAGATGTGTGCTATGCTTGTGACCACGTGCTACACTAGCAAGTGTTCCTGATGCAGGAGAGCTTCTTGCTCACAGGAGCCAAAGAAAGCCACGTCCTCAAGAGCTTGCCCCCATGGTGACTGGGAGAATTTCCCACAGCCTCCTCCTTGCATTTCAGACCTCGCTTCTAACATACTTCCAGAGCCAAGCCCCCAGGCCACATCCTATCGGGGGCGACCCTGGCCCTGTGTCATCAGGTTGCCCTGGAAGGTTTCGGCTAGCCATGGTGGGTGTCCCTGCAGCCAGTCCAGAGCAGATGGGAATGCTGGTACCCAGAGTAACTGAGAACTCACAACCATCTCCCACAATTCTAACTCCCTCTGGAGGGCAGATACCACAAATGCCCCAGAGGCACTCCCCCAGCATGAGCAGGTGATAAGGCAGAAGTTAGAATGTAAAGCAGCAGTGCTCGTTCCCAACCCTGGGTAAATACATGACTTTTACAACCCTCATGAAAACATAACCATGAGAAGCCCCTACCAAGGCCGCTCTTTTTGTGGACTGTCTTAGACAGCTCAGGCTGCTATAACAAAGTAGCACAAGCTGGAAGGCTTATAAACAACAGACAGTTCTTTCTCACAGCTCTGGAGGCTGGAAGTCCAACATCAAGGTGCTGGCAGATTCGATTTCTGGCGAGGGCCCATTTCCTGGCTTGCAGATGGCTGCCTCCTTGCTGTGTCCTATCAGGTTAGGACCCCATCCTCATGACCTGGTCTAACCCTAATGTCCTCCCCAAAGTCCCATCTCCAAATACTGACAAATTCGGGTTAGAGCTTCAGCATATTAATGGGGGACCGGGTGGGGATAGGAAACACAAACATTCAGCCTGCAAAAGAGTCCATGGTGTTACAGAGCAAGGGCTCGCTGCCTGACGCACACAGAAGCCAATGCTATGGCACTGGTTTTTGAAAAAAGAAAAGGCTTTATTGTGAGGTTGGCCAGCAAGGAGACAGGAGGCAAGGCCCAAATCTGTCTCCCCAGTCTAGGGTCTGGGCATGTTTTAAGGGGTAAGGAGCAAGAACATTTTGAGCTGGCAGTGTCATTGGTCAGTGCAGTGGATCTTCCTTACCCCCAGCTAGCCTTTCCCAGGGGCCCGTGGATGGCCTTCAGGACTAGAGGAGGGCGTCTGAACCCTGGCCCTAGTGACACTTGGAGCCAAATGAGTCTTTGTTGTAGGGCTGTCTTATGTGCTGCAGGATGTTGAGCAGCATCACAGGCTCCTATACATTAGATGCCAGTAGCACCCCTCCCCCCAGCTGTACCAACCAAAAATGTCTCCAGAATTGTTGAATGTCCTGGGGGTGGGGGAGGATATCTAGCCCCCGATAGTTGAGGACTATTGGTTTAGAGAAATTTGATTTCCATGTGACAACCTCTCACCCTGAGAGACCCATCCCGTCCTTATGCTGCAAGGCATGTTCTGATGTCAGCCTCCACCCTGGTGTCTCCTGCCATATCTGCTGAGTGACTTGACTGTTTCCAGTTTCCACCCGGTTGGAAAGTCTGCCATAGCCAAGCATGGGGTGGAAAAGAGGGCTCATGGGGTGCTTGGCAGGACTGGGGGGCAAGGAAGGATCCAGAGTGGTCTGGCCTGTGGTCGATAGATGGTGACCATCTCAGGGTATTTGTGGGTTACCCACTTCAACCTCATATCAACCTAAAAGGTGGGAATTATAATTTCTGCTAACACTCGAGGAACCGTGATAGCCAGAGGTCCCGCTGTAGCTTTGTTTTGTGTCTTTTTTTCTTTTTTTAAGATGACCGGTAAGGGGATCTCAACCCTTGGCTTGGTGTTGTCAGCACCATGCTCAGCCAGTGAGCTAACCGGCCATCCCTATATAGGATCTGAACCCATGGCCTTGGTGTTATTAGCACTGCACTCTCCCGGCTGAGCCATGGGCCAACCCCTTTATTTTGTTTCTAAATTGTGGTAAAATATACATAACATGAAATTTATCATTTTACCCTTTTTCAGTGTACAGTTCAGTGGCATTAGGTACATTCACATTGTTGTAAAACCATCACCACCATCTGTGAGGTACTAAATAGCAAGCTGACAAAGTCCTTGCTATTCTAGGGAAGCCAGCAAGGCTGGCATCCCTTTTGCCTACTTCCCCCTTCTCCCTCCCCTTGAGGTCTGACCTTTGTTTGAAGCCAGGACCCTGGAAGCTTTGTAAATGAGAAACTTATGTTCTTATTTTGTTGATAAGTAGTTAGCTATGAATCTTCAAGTGCCCTGGCAGCTGAAAATGTTCTATAATAGCTTGGTACCAAACATAACTGATTTATTTATTTATTTATTTATTTATTTATTTATTTCAAAAGATGACCGGTAAGGGGATCTTAACCCTTGTCTTGGTGTTGTCAGCACCACACTCAGCCAGTGAGCAAACCGGCCATCCCTATATGGGATCCGAACCCATGGCCTTGGTGTTATCAGCACCACACTCTCCCGAGTGAGCCACAGGCCGGCCCCTGACATAACTGATTTAATCAGTACGGTTTGTTATTTTCACTGGCTTATAAAAAGAAGCCTAAAATAAACTAAGATGCTTGACAGGTCAGCAGCCTGAAAGGTACTCCTGACCCCATAAAGTCTGTCTCTTCATTTCCCACCATCTCCCCTCGGGGCACTGGTAGGTAACAACCATCCACCTCCAGAACTTTTCCCTCTTCTCAAACAGAAACTCTGTCCTCACTAAATAACGACCCCCATTCTCCTTCCCCCAGCCCCTGGCACCCACCATTCTGTTTCCTGACTGTGTGGATTTAACTACTCTAGGGACCCCATATAAGGGAATCATGCAGGATTTGTCCTTTTGTGTGTGGCTTATTTCACTTGCCATAATGTCCTCAAGGCTCAACCCTGTTGCCCCACGTGTCAGCATTTCCTCCCTTTTAAGGTTGAATAATATTCCACTGTATGTATATATGCATTTTGCTTACCCATTCACACGTCAACGCACACTTGGGCTGCTCCCGCTTTTCGGCTGTTGTGGATGGGGCTGCTATGAACATTTGTGTACAAGCTTCTGTGTGCACATATGTTTTTAATCTCTCAGGTTTTTAGGGAAGAGTGGAATTGCTGGATCATACAGTAACTCTGTTTCATGGTTCGAGGATCTGCCAGCCATGCGTGTTTCTGAAGCACAAACGCAGCCTGTGGTTTGCACTGCAGTGGGTGTTCTGCGGCATCACTCGGAGGCCCCTGGTCCAGAGCACAACTGCAGGGTGGCGTGGGGGGTTTCCTGTGGGATTCGGAGGAGAGAAGGAGTGCCTGCCATCTCCACGGGATGCACAAGGAATTTATTTATATAATGTGAGATTTTTAGCCCATGTGATTATGGAAACGCATTTCTTGAGTTTCTTTCTCTGATGCCCAAACAAAAATAGACCGAGGAACTGTAAAAAGGGACTGACTATATTTCCTCGAAGCTAGGCACTTGCAAACTCTAATTAACTCTTCTTCTTTCTCTCCCCTGACGTCAAGAAGTAAACAGAATCTAACAGCTGAGCACAGTTTGGGTGTAGGTTTGCCGATGACTCACCAACAAGTCACAGCCGAGGTGCCAGTTGCTGCTCTGCTATGAAAAGAAAACCTATTTTAGGCAAAACTGACTTCGCGGATTCCTCAGAATAAGCAGAGCCCCGCAGACAAAACCCATTCTGACGTCTGGCTGGAGCCGGAGCCCCGCCCCGCCCCCTCCCCTCCCCGCCTTGGCTCCGCTGCACCCCTTCGCTGTCCCAGCCCCCTCCCCTGGCTCCGCCCCCGCCCTCCCTTGGCTCCGCCCCTCCCCTGGCTCCGTCCGGCGCCCCGCCCCCTCCGTCTCATGCTGCACTACCCACGCCCCCAGCCGCACCGCCCCCAGGGTCACGCCCACCAGCTCAGCCTTTAACATCCTGGGAGGACAGACCCGGTCGGGGGGGGTCTCAGGGGCTACCCTGGACGCCGCTGAACGTCTTGGGGCGCTCGGAGTCGGAATTGGGTGATCTCGCGGGTGCGTGAGAGGGACACCCAGGCGAGAGCCCTCGGGGGAGTGTCCACCGGAGCCAGGGCGGAAGCAGGACGCCCCCAGTAACACAAGGCTCGGCCGCCGCCCGGCCGGCCCCCGTGGCAAGCTGGCACTGACCCAAGCGCACCAGCATGCGTGTCCTCACCGACCACCGACCACCACCGTCGTGGCCTTACTGTGGCCCAGTAACACAAGGCTCGGCCGCCGCCCGGCCGGCCCCCGTGGCAAGCTGGCACTGACCCAAGTGCACCAGCATGCGTGTCCTCACCGACCACCGACCACCACCGTCGTGGCCTTACTGTGGCCATCAAACCAAGACGCTCCTGGCTTCCAGGGCTGTGCGCCACCTCCTGCCAGTCTCCTGCTCTGTCCCTTTCTCGGCTTCCACAAAACTAATCGCCATTATGATCATGATAATTCATTCCAGGCCCACCCGAGAGGATGAAACGGAGGCCTGGGGGTCACATGGGTGTGCTAGACATTTCTTTTTTGGAAAGTTCCAGCAGAGCACCCCTCCCCCATGGCCTGCTTGGCCGCTGGCTCTACGGTTCAGAGCTGCCCCCAGCTCCCATACTCATACTTATTGTATTGGGGAATGGGAAGCCCCTCCTTCGTGGCCAGCGAGATTTAGGATAAAAATAAATAATGTAATTGCAGAGGGTGGTGCACTTCTAGTGGCAAAGGTCAATTCCTTTTGAGCCTGTGTGGTAGCTCTTGAACAGTAAGCCAAGTGCTCCTTAACGGTAAATCTGGAGTTATGTGGACAACTACCAGCACACTGTTTCTGAGACACTAGCTCTTGCTGCTGGGGGACATGCTGGTTTCTTCAGCTGGTGGACACAGAATCAGCCTTGGGAAGTAGGGTGGGGGGAGCATTGCTCTGTCCTCTCTGGACTTAGCCCTGTCCCCCTGCCTCCTACTTTTCAAAGGTCAGAGCAGGGGCAATCATTCCCTGGAGTACGAATGAGGACCCATCTGATCCAGTCACCCACCCGCTCTTTCCAGGGCCACTATGCCTTCACTTAGGATTGTGATGCAGCCAGCAGGCAGGTGAGAAGAGATGACTCCCAGCCCCCTGGTAGAGATCCCACTGGCTGTGGGAAGCTGTGAGGTAGGCGGCCGGATCCCATACAGGACAATAGGAGCCACACTGAGGACAGAAAGGCCCCTGCCAGGCTGTTACTCCAGCTAATGCAGGCTCCCGAGGTGCCCTGGGGAACAGACCACCCTCTCGGGAATGCTCATTTTTGTGGTAGTTAGTGTCTCTAATCCAATACTTACCTGGTTAGTGTCATGAGCTTCATTTTGCAGACTTGGAGGTCAGAGGGAGTGAGAAATTTGGCTGGTATGGAATCCTGACTTTGCTGCCTCCCAGCCAGGTAGCTGGGTTGCTGGGGCACCCTCTCTGGACCTTGGTTTTCCCATTTCTTGAGTGGGCATGGTTCCTTGTGGGAAGTCGAGGAGCAGCAAATGAAAAGTGTTTAGCAAAGCTGGTGGCATGCAGAGGCTCCTCAGCTATGTCATCAGTTGATATTATGGCCTATTCTGTAGAGCCTCAGTTATGCACCCCTTTGCCCTCCAACACATACCGTGTGCATGACACCCAAATCCAACAGTTCTGTTTACTTCTTGGCTGTTGCAGCACAGTTGCCCTATTTATGACACTATATCATTAGTGTATCATGGGCTATCTCTGGTAGCCCAAGATCGGTGGGCAGAAGTGTTTAGAGTCCTCCTTTGAGACTGGTAACTGATATACGGTTTTCTGCTTAACAGTAACACTTGCTTAGACTGTATGATGCTCGTTGTCCTTGAAAAATAACTTAAGGAATTTCTTTGATGCCTAGGAGGAAGACGTATCCCTCAGGAGGTTTGTGTTTGCTTCTCCCAACACCTGGGGGAGCTGCATTTCCTATTTGCTTTAAAGACTGAAACTTTTTGTATGACCTAGGAAATACGAATTTGGGCTGCAAACCCTGCAAGAGCAGACTGTGAGAATGACTTCTAACAATACCACTATCCTTTGCTCAAGGACAAGGTCTCAGTCTCTGGGGGTGGTTCATACTCAGACTGACTTGTGGTTTACCCTTTAGTTGAGTGTAGCCCTTGGGGGTCCCCGACTCACGGGAAGAGGTTCTCCAATTTCATGTTCACCTTGGGCCAGCCCTGCACTCTTGCCCAGGTCCCACCTCCTTCCCTAAATGAAGAGCTCCGTTTGTTGGGTTCCGCGGATGTCCTCAAGGCAGTATGAGTTTCTGACCTTTGCTCAGCGCTCTGGGTTCCGTCACCCAGATGTGCGGGCTGACGTTCTTGCTATCGTGTGGGCTCTTCCGTGCTCCTTAGATATTTTAATCAGCATTCCGGTAATTTTCAGCAGAAGGTTGGCCCAGTCTGCAGACAGAACTCATCATGTGCTGTTATTCCCTCCTTCGGCCTTCAAGCCCGCGTTCACGCCCTTGGTCACCGTGCTGGCACACTCTTACCCAGTGCCACCACGTGGCTGCACTGCGGCTGAGCTGAGCACTGGGAAATAGGGACCTAGGGGAGAACTTTCCGTGTCAAAGGTTATTCTGGATATTTCCGCGAAGGGAAGCAAAGCAGACTATTCTGCCCTCAAAGAACTGCGGTGTGGGAAGGAAGACAGACTCAATAAAAGCGAAACAAAACATAAGCCGGCACCTCCAGGGCTGCAGGAGACGTGCAGGCGGAGAAAGCCCTCACACGGCTGCCGGTGCCGCGGGCCGGCGGAGCGGACGGAGGGCACGCGCGGGGCGGTAGGACG